AGCCATAATAAGAGCCTTGGACAATTAAATAAAACACAGTTTGCTCTTTTTTTATTTTTTCTTAGCTGTCTTATCCCTCCTCTTCAATCCCATAGTATTCTGTAATAATTGTATATTTATTTTTTATTCATTTTTTTTCCTTTGTAAAGGGAAAGCCTCAGAATATCTTTTTCTTTTTCTTATTGGGATTTTTGCCTTTTCCATTTTCATTTTTGATCATTTTTATGGCTATTTTTTATTTTTGAGATTTTCCAGTTGGATTAAGGTGTGAAGAACCTGAAGAATTCTTTTTTTCTTCCTACTATTTTTTTTAATACTATTGGGTTTTATTCTTTTTCTTTTCATTTTTAATTTTTATTTTGAATCATATTGCCTATCTCACAATAGGATTAAGGTCTAGAAGAACCTGAAGAACCCTTTCTTTTTAATTTTGGACTTTTTTCTTTATTGTCTTTTTCTTATTTTTATTCTCTTTCTTTTTTCCTAATTGGATTATAATTGACTACTCTACTAATTGGATTAAAAGAGCTTGAAGACCCTGAGTTACCTAAATGAGTAAGAAATCTATACCTTCTGGCATTTCAACTTCTGCTCCTGCTTCACCAACAGCTGGAGGACAATATTTAACCCAGATAATGTCAAAGCAAGATAAAGGACAAGTGGATTTAAAGATGATTATGCAAGGAATTCAAGAACTTAAAACAAAATCGGGTATCATTGAAAAGAAAATAGAAAGCATTGAACAAAGAGCTGAGAATATTGAACAAAGAACAGAGAGTATTGAACAAAGGATAGAGAGTATTGAACAAAGGACAGAGAGCATTGAACAAAGAATTGGGAAGACCGATGAAAAAATTGAAAATATTCAACAAATGATGATGAAATATGATGAGAGACTCCAAAAAATTGAAGAGAAAGATAAGCAAAGAGATGAGACAATTGGAAATATTGATAGCAGATTAACAATGGTTGAACAAGACAAAAGTGGGAGATGGACAGGTCAGAATTCTATCTCAGATTTCAAAATATAGAGGAAGAAAAAGGACAAAATTTGGCTGCAATGATAGAAATCCTGGCTGGAGCTCTGGGAATAACAGAGGAAAAGATGATGGATGGAGTAGATGAGATATACCGAGTTTTCACAAGATATGCGATGAGGAACAATCTACCAAGAGAGGTTCACGTCAGATTTACAAAAAAACCTATTAAAACACAAATACTACAAGTGGCAAGAGAGAAGACATTGAAATATAAAGACAATGAGATCGTGGTCTTAAAACAAGTACCCAGAAAAGTGAGAGAGATGAGAAGAGAATATCGATTCCTGACTAAAATGTTATTGAAAAAAAAGGTGAATTATAGATGGCTGATTCCAGAAGGATTAATGTTTACATGGCAAGAACAGAGACACAGAATTGACTCAATTGAGAAAGCAGAAATATTCTACAATGAATTTTTTGAAAAAAGAGAAATAGAGACAGAAAAAGAGATCATCACAACTAAATCTCGAGAGGAACAAATGGGGATGGGAAAAGAAGAAGGCGCAGTAGGTGGACAAGTGGAGACCAAAGAACAACGTGAAGTAAGATCTACGAGAGCTGCTAGACTTAAATACAAAGCATAATCATGGAGGAAAAAAACCTGATTTCTATGAATATAAATGGACTGAACTCACCTACCAAAAGAAGAAAAACCTTTCACAAATTAGAGAAGTTAAAATTTGATATAATTTGCTTACAAGAAGTACATATTAAAAAACAACATGAACAATTACTGGCACGACCAAAATTAGAGAAAATATTTACTTCTCTGACCCACTGTAAGAAAAGAGGAGTGGTTTTATACATCAAATAAACTATTCCAGCAAAAACTGATTTATACTGATGAAGACGGAAGAGTATTAATGGTTGAAATAGTGGATAATAATACAAAAACACCCCTGGTTGCAATTTATGCCCCGAATGATAAACAAGAAGAATTTTATAAAAAATTACATTTGAAAATAACGGGACGGGCTATATTAATATAGTTACGATGGGAGATTTCAATGGAATTGTAGACAATAAACTGGACTATACAGCAACAGCAACAAGGCAAAATAGAAAGACTCTCCCTAAATCCTTTTTCAAAATGATTAGATGAATTAAACTTAAAAGATATATGGAGAGAAAGAAATGCTAAAATTCAACAATATACTTTTTACTCAAATAGACATTTATCATGGTCCAGAATAGATACGATTTGGACAACAGAATTAATATCTAATATTCAAGAAATAAATATTGAAACAAGTATATGGGCAGATCATAATCCAATGACAATTAAACGGAAAGGACAAAAAAGAAGATCTAGATGGACATTAAATAATACTATTTTAAAGGAAAAAGACTTCACACAATGGATGGAGAAAGAATTGGCCTTCTTCTTTAGTGAAAAAAAAAAAAGAAGATACTTCAATACAGAATGTTTGGGATACAATGAAGGCATATGCGAGAGGATTAATAATAGACTATACAAAGAAAAAGAAATTAGGAAGAGGCAAACTATAAAAACTTTAGAAGATGACCACAAAAAACTGGAAAAAGAATTACAGAAAATGCCACAGAAAAAAGATATTAAACTTAAAATGGACATAATTAAACATAAAATGGGTCAGATAGTGGAGATTTATGTTACTACTACTGGAACAGATGGGCTTTGCCAGAAAATTCATTCAAGCAATAGAAGCCATATACTATAAGCAAACGGCAAAAGTAATGATAGAGGGAGAACTTACAAACTCTATTAACATAAGAAAAGGCACAAGACAAGGATGCCCATTATCACCTTTGCTATTTGTATTGACTTTGGAAGTGTTGAATAGAAATATTAGAGAGGACCAAAATATAAAAGGAATGAAAATTAAAAAGGAGGAATTTAAACTACAAGCCTTTGCGGATGATTTGGTTTTCATTCTGGAAGATCCTCTAGAGACAGCTTTAAAATTATTGGAAAAGATAGAGACATAGGGTGAGATGGCTGGTTTGAAAATAAATAAAGACAAAACAAAGATCCTGACAAAGAACATATTATTAAGACAGAGAGAAGAACTAGCAGACCTATTGAAAATTCAAGTCACGAATAAAGTTAAGTATTTGGGGATATACTTGACGCCAAGATGCACTACATTGAAAGAAAATAATTATATTAAACTCAAACAGCAGATAGCATTTGACCTGAAGAAATGGGAAAACCTACAATTGTCGTTGATAGGTAGAATTTCAACACTCAAGATGAATATTTTATCTAGAATTTTATATCTGTTCCAAACAATACCAATTAGGCTTGGCAAAGATTATTTTGAAGATTTAAATAAAATTGTGTTGAAGTATATATGGCAAAGTAAGAAAGTGAGAATAAAATTAAAACTTTTACAAGATGCTAGAACTAGAGGAGGATTTGGCCTTCCTAATTGGGAGTTGTATTATCAAGCTGCAAACTTGATGTGGGCCAAAGAATGGATAACATTAAGAAAGACAAGATTGTTGACATTAGAAGGACATGATCTATTACTGGGCTGGCATGCTTTTCTGTGGTATAAGGGAACTAAATCGCAGGGCTATTTTAGAAGGGATTATATATGGGAGTCTTTATGGTTAAACTGGGAGAAAATTAAGAGACAATGTTATTTGAAAATCCCAATTTGATTATTAACTATTGAAGTTTTTTCTTATCCTATAACATATAAGAAGGAACAAACAGTTAGATATGGGGAAATATTGGATGAAAAGGGTGAACTTAAAACGATGCAAAATTTAGAAGAACAAGGTATAAAGATGAATTGGTTTTCATATGTGCAAATACACTCAAGGTATGTCAAAGATTCTAAAGCAGAGGGAATTTATGATAAATTGACTTAGATAAGATTTTGACAGGTACTGATGAAAAAGTGATTAATGGTTATTTACTGGAAATTAAACTAGAGGAGGAACAAGTTAAAGAAACGATGATTGCTTGTGGGAAGAATTTTGGATATGGGATTGACTTTGAGAAATGGCAAAAATTGTGGTCTCAAAATTATAAAATGACAATGTCAACAGCATATAAAGAAAATCTGTATAAGATGTTTTACAGGTGGCATTTTCCGCTGACAAGAATAGAAAGAATGTTCAAGAATAAATCTGACAAGTGCTGGAAATGTCATCAGATACCTGGTTCATATTACCATATGTGGTGGACTTGTGAGGACGCTAGAAAATATTGGACTAAAATTCGCATATGGTTGGAAAAAATGACAAAGAAACATATAGATTTAAAGCCAGAGATTTTTTTATTGGGAATCTTACCTGATACATACAATAAAAATTTGAAATATTTGATTGTAAATGTATTAAGAGTGGCTAGGATTGTATTTGCTAAAAATTGGAAGAATGAGAAAATACCATCACAGGAAGAAATTATTAAGAAAATATTGGAATGTGCTGAAATGAGCAGATTGACATTTGAAATTAGAGAACAAGAAGATAAACAATTCTATGAAGTTTGGGACTTTTTCTATCAATGGCTAGATAATAAAATATAATAGAATATTTAGAACCTTAGGAAACAATGAATACATATTTATTTTATTTTTATTTGATACTATCTTTATAAAATTCTATTAAGATAGACTTGGTATGACTTTATGATTTGTTATAAAATAAAAAGTAAACTATAGATATCTCGTTAAAGTATGAACTAACAAAATTACAGTCAAATGATTGTTTAATAATGATATCAGGCTATATAATTGTTGATTGATAATATGAGCTATTATGTAATATAATTACAATGGAGACTATGAAATGAATGCACACAAAAAAGTGGTAAACCAACTGACATACTGTCTGTAAACTCATGAAAGAAAGGATGATGTTTTTATGTTTTATGTGTTTTTGTTTGTTGTCAAAATTAATAAAACTGTTTAAAAAAATCTTAATGATTAATAATAATAGTAGTTAAAAATATTTCTGAATATTTTGAATTGGCAGCCTTTTACTTAGTGCCCTCATTCTATTCCTTGCCTTGTATTTCAACCGTCCTTCCGCCTGAAGGGTTTCCAAATTCAAGAACAGCTGTTACTTTTGCAAGTTATTGTAAGACTGGCTAAAATTCTGAAAAGAATAAAGGGAACAGAAATCAGAAATTAACAACACTATTTTATTGTATTTATTCAAAAGTAAGATTCCCTGAATCTAAGGACAATCACTTCAAGGTCTGAACAGAACATTCTTCAGGTTGGATAATTTCCCAGAACTGTTTCATCTGGTTTTTCTTCAGATTATTTTGCAGAGTAATCTGTACTAATTTTTAATGGATTTTTTTTGTCCCAAGTCAGGAAAAAGGGGAACATTTTCTCAGAAAATGGATAGTTGAAAGTAAAGATAATCTCCATAGAATCCACATCAAAAAAGGATAATTTGCCTAAACTGAATTCTAAGGTAATGAGAATCCGTTGTACTGTCTTCCACAGTGGAAGAATGGTCTTAGGTGTGGTGGTGACCTCATATTCTCCATCCATCAGCTGCAATACCCAAAACCCTTCAGTAGCCCCTATATTTAGATATCCTTTTCTTTCTATGGATTCACGTACAGCACCAACAGCCCATTGTTTGGCGTTGCCCACTTCCACCACCCACTGTGAAGTCCCAGAATCGATGCCTTCTGTTCCCAGGACGCAAGGTAAAAAATTAAAGCGTTCAAGATTGTCAGGAAAGTCCTGGGCTCGGTCACCCATGTATACGCTTTTCCGATCTTCTGAAAGGATGAGGGTAGGAAAAGCTGTCTTGGGATCCAGCATCACCTCCACTAAAAAGAAGAGATGGAGAAAAGTTTGAAGTGATAGCGACTCAATTGATGACTTACAGAATTAGGAAAAGAAGTATTAATTCAGGTTAAAGAAAAAAGAATTATGAGAATGTTTGAACTGCTTCCCCAGCCCCATCATTTAGAAAAAAGTTGGAATCAAATGCTTTCCGTTTTGACATCTTGAGATATGATTCTGCAACAAGGCACCTGCAGACTGCTAATTAGTCTTTTTTCTTCTTTGTTCCAAGTCTTGTGTTAGAAAACACTTAATGCATCTGTGGACACTGACCTTTATTTTGAGGTTCAGAAATTGTCTCATTGTCTGATTCTGGAAACTGAAGAAAATCTGTTGGAAATAAAAGTCAGTTCTTATTTTGAAAAAAGAATCATGAATGAGCTAATTGCTACCCCTTTTTTCCTTTGGTCATGATCACATGGATGAGAAAAATACTCTTCACAAGAGCAAAATCATTAAATTGATTCAATTAAGATCAGGTTGTTTTCTAGCTAGAACTGAACCATATTTAGCTAAAACATGGAGTGACATTATTTTTTCCCAACTGGTTGCCCTTTAGATATATTGAATCACAGTTCCCACCATTCCCAGTCAACACAATAGAAAGACAGCAAGTTGGGCTGCATTGTTGAGCAATTTTCCATACTGCAGAACTATACTAATTCTATCACACTACATAGGAAATGGGGACCAGCAAAGTTCATCAGCCTGGCCATTTTACAAAGGAAGCTCCTACTTGGATAGTTTTTGATGTTTGATAAAGCCCAGGAAGCTATTTTCAGTAGAAATGGGGTCATTAAGAGCATGGACAAGAATAAGCAAGAGTCTAAAGCATATCCAATTTACTAGGATGTAAAAATCAGGTTTAAAAAAAAATTATGGCAATTTGCTTGGAAATAAAACAGGGGAACGTTATTTTTCCAAAATGCTTTCCCTCAATTATTTGCATTTCTCCCCAAATATGCTCATTTTCTCCAGTCTTCTGTGGTTTCTTATTTTTCCAGGATTTTTTTTCTCTCCCAGGCCTTCACTGAAAATATGGAGCTCTTATATTTCTATGTACAAAAGATGACCCCTAATTTTAAACCTTTCCCCCTATTTGTTTACCTACTTTCCTATACTTTGCAACCTCCTGTGTAAGGACTCCTGTCATTAGAAAGCCAGGGACTTTGTTAACTTTAGACTAAGGGACCAATCTGACTATAGCAAAGATTGATGGATGCCTACAAATCACTCAAGGAGAAATATTATTAATAATAATATTTTTGATAATAATAATATTATTATTGAGCCAAGGTATAAAGAGGAACAGAAGCCAACACAGCTGGGCTCTGTCTACATACAATCTGGCATCTCCTTTTGGATTCTTGCAGCCAGATCCTTTTTATTTATTCCATTCAGAATCCTGACAGTCATCTTCAACGCCTTGGCATCGTCATACGCCTCAATCATGTATCGAGCTATTTCAACATGGGCTGCTTTTTCAGTCTTGCAACGACGGATGGGCTTGTAGCCCTTCTCCACTGGGTAGTCCTCGAGGTGCAGCTTAAATTTCTCAAATTCTTCATCATTCAGCTCTTCCAAATATTCAACTAGCTTGCAGCGGGAAGTGTGTGACATTGTGCCCCCTCAGTCTTCAGTTCCTGGAAGAAAGAAAAGGTAAAGGCTGCAATAGAAAGACTTTATACAAATCAGATTAAAGGATGAAAGTTCCTGTGGTCAGAGTTGTTTATTCATTTGTTAAGGTGACTTTAAGTGTTTAGAAATGCACAAGTGTCTTTTTCAAATGATAAAGAATATACAGCTCCCATGGATGCTGCTAAAGGAAACAGACAAAACACCTGCCTTGCCCAAGGTGTTCTACCTGCCTTTGTAGAAGACGGTCATGAAGATGTTGCTTTCCAGAAAGAACAGGTAGCAAGAAGAAAACCATCATCTGACCAAAGAAAATGCAACAGCAAAAAAAATCTTTCTCTTTCTTAGCCAGAAAGACCATTTTTCTTGCTAATTCAATGCTTCTTAATATATATTCTTTTTTGTTGCCTTCATAATTTATTTTTATGGGGAGGGAAATGTCTAAGACCACTTTTTAGGGCCAGCTTGATGTAGTACGGGTTGGGGATAGAAATTGGAAGCTGTGAATTCTAGTCCCACCATGAGCACAAAGCCACCTGGGTAACCTTGGCCAATCACTTTATCTCAGCTCTAGAAAGGAAGCAATGGCAAAGCATTTCTGAAAAATTTTGTCCTAAAATCTTATGTGAACTTTTTCATGCAGTGTCTCAAAGCTGGACATGATTGAATGGAAGGGATGGAAACTTTTAAGCTGAAGATTAACACAATATCTGTTATTCGCACATCTGTTAACACAATGGAAAATGAAACATGAGCTTTTATTTCTTTTCTTTTTTTCTGTACTCCATAGGAAAAATAGCTATTCCTGTGACAGGATACCTGTTTTTTAGAATGCAAAACAGATTAACATAACTTCTTTTTGGACCATTTTTCATATTTAGGTCCAACTTGAAGGAGCCATAAAGTTATTGGAACAAAGTCAATGAAAACATTTAGAGTACTAGGAGAAAACATCATAGAATCCTTCAGAATAGTTCAACAGAAAGATTTTATCAATATAGCTGTACTGTGGAAACGGAGGCCTTAGAACTGAGAAACCTTTCCTGTATCAGCCTTCCTCCATCTCTAAGAGGTAGCTGAGGAAAAGGAAAAAGGCCATCCAATGCTGCTTCTTAATCTCAGCCATTACTCCGATGCCCCAATTCCCCGCTTTTCCCACTTGCTGCACACTAACTGTGGGTATAACATCACCCCAAATGTCTTTAGAATAGGGGTTCCCAAATTAGAATTAGAATTCTTTTATTGGCCAAGTGTGATTGGACATACAAGGAATTTGTCTTGGTGTAAATGCTCTCAGTATACATAAAAGAAAAGATACATTTGTCAAGAGTCAAAAATTATCAGGTACAACACTTAATGATAGTCATAGGGTACAATAAGCAATCAAATCATACCAGGAAACAGTCAATATAAATCGTAAAGATACAGGCATACAAGTATACAGTCACAAGTGGAGGGGGGATGGGTGATAAAGAGTGATGAGAAGCTGGCTGAGGAATTCTGGAAGTTGAAGTCCATAAGTCTTAAAGTTACCAAGTTTGGAGACCTCTGCTTTAGTACCTGAAAAGCTGAGAGTAAGACTTTCGCCCCTCCCCCTGCCTGTGCCTTCTTTGCCTAGGATGGAGGGGAAGAGTGGGTGGAGTGGATTGGAAGGGGAGGTTGGCATTTCCTGTTGTGATCCAGTGAACAAGAGGGCAGCGCTTTCTGCAAGCCAAAGCATCGGCGATTGGACGGAGGCAGCAGAGCATTGCTCTTGCCCAACGGTTGCTGCAGTTAAGATACCTGTAAGGCCAGGGGAACCGACGCGGGTGCAGGAAGGGAGAAAAAGGCAACTCTCTCCCCCTCCCTGCCCATTCCCTCGCTTACCGCTATTCTCCGCCTGCTGCTTGCCTGGAGCAAAGGAAGTGCGATCCCAGAAGGAAATCGTCATTCCGGCGCTGGTGCTTCGGCCTGCTCAGAGTGGAGAGCGAAAGTGAAAGTAATGCGCTACCTGTGCGTATGCGTATCTGTCTGCCCATCCGACCTCTGCAACTAAAAAGGCTGACTTAGGCCTAATGTTCTTCAATATCTTCATCAATATTTAGGCCAAGGGATAGAAGGAGAACTCATCCAATTTGCAAATGACACCATGCTGGCAGGAAGAGTCAATTCTCCAGAAGATAGGCTCGAGATACAGTAGGAGCTTGAAAAATTATTGGAAGTCAGCCTTTCCAACTCGATTTAAAATAAATCTTTAAATCGAGCGTGATTTCGTTCACATAACCTTGCCATTTTCTTGGGAAAGAAATGTCCTAGCTTGTGACATCATCCACTAGTACTAGGTGTAATTGAGGTACTGGGGCCTGTTAAGAAAGAAACAGACCAAGTGTATTTTTTTTAAAAAAGGTTTCCTTTAAAAGTTCTGGAAATGTAGTCCTCCGGATAAATTAATTATTCTTTGAATCCTCTTGCTTTGCTGAAAGTATCTGTCCATCACATTGCTCAACCCAGGCACCCAAATCTTGTGCTCTGCTTCCCTTTTGTGGTCTGTTTTTCAATCCGTATCATTTCCCCCCCCATCATTCTGACATTTTTAAAAAAAGTATGTTCCTCCCACCCACCCCTCCTCACCCCATACTCTTCCTTTGAGAAATATTCTCAAGAATTGCCATTTTTAAAAGCAATTTTAATTCAAACATGTTGTATTTGTGTTGTTTGGGTAACACATGGAATCAGGTTACTTCGTCATAATCCAGTTAGGATAATAGAAAATTGAAGTCATGTAAACAGCAGTGTCTTGATGCAGTCAGGATTACACACTTGGCTCATGATGTATGACCCAGGTGTCCAATTTGCATTTACCTTGTATTCTGACATCATGAAACACATTTTGCCACTTATCCTTAGTACATAATGATAACTAGTAGCTACATTTGAAGAAATCTTAATTTTGTTTGCCTTCGTACGTTATGTGAACTGTACCTATTTGGTAGTTCTGCACTTAATAAATTATACAAAAATCCAGTAACTCATTTAAGTGTGTTGTGTATATTGGAAAATTACTACGGATAATTTACATTTTAGTTTGCAACCATCACACTTCCAATTAATCTTTATATCATCAGAGCAATCACAAACACACACATACATACACAACTAAATTCAGCTAACAGAAATATAGCTTGATGTTTACCAACACCAACAAATGACAAAAGGAGACAAATAGGCAAAAACATGCAAAAATATGAATGACAGTCAAAATTTTACATTTTATCTAGTTTATATATCATCAAAAGGGACAGAGCTTTACAGAGCCGCTGTAAATAATGTCTTCAACTTACTTCATTTAATCCTCGTTCCAGGTGACATGATGAAAAAAGTGATTCATGACTGATTTTTGCAGGGCTGTCACAGCATCCCCATAGTCACATGATTAAAATTTAGGTACTTGAAAACTGGTATATTTTTATGATGTTTGCAGCATTCCAGAATCATATGACTATTTGTGACCTTCCGAAAGAGCTTTTGACAAGCAAAATCAAGGGGGAAATTGGATTCACTTAACAATAAGTCTAAAAAGTAATAAAATCAGCTGTAACTCAATGACTAAACTGCTTAAAATGATTGTATTGTGGCTATAAATTGAGAATTACCTTAATATGCTATATATACTATGAAAAATCTGCATGGACTTTCCAAAAGACAGTGGTCTTTGACCCAGCTTTAAGTACTGTACTTAGCAGCAGAACAGAGAGGGAAAAGCTCCTGGTAATTTACCTTCTATTTTACATCATAAAAAAATGATTTGATTGAAAGGAATAATGTATCCAACAACGCAGACAAAATGTCTTTTCACAATATAACATCAAAGTCTACAACAGGACTGTATGAATCCACATCAGTTTTTAATTTGAACTTTCCTTAGCGTGATCAATTGACCCAAAGTTATTTTTGTCAGAAAAAGTCATAGGAATTTGTTCTCTGCTTCTACTTGACCTTAGAGATCTGTTAGATATCAGAATGTTTTAATGGGTATAGTAAATAGGCTCAGTTCAGCTCTACAAAAGCTTTGTAAGTTCAAACCAATGCAACACTATAAAAATGCAAAATTCTTGCTATTCCTTTAAGTTACCTATATCTTTGCTTGTGCCATGAAGATCCAGCAAACTTTGCAACAGGGAATTATTGTGATTTTGTAGTATATTAATCTTGGTTTAAAGAAATCACAGCCCTGCTGAGTGAAATAAGTAAGCATTTCTTTTATATTATTGTATATATTATATATTTATATATTAATTAAGAGGTAGCCTGCTGTATGATTCTTTTTTTTTTACTTTATTAGTTTACTTTATTGTCATTGCACCTTGTACAACAAAATTAAATGCCAACTTCAGTGTAAATTATAAAAATAAAAAACAAATACACATCCTTCACATTCTATACAATTGAATTGAAAATCTGATATTATATTAATATTGCACTATACAGTAGAATTCAATATAGTTACTGCCCTGGGATTGAAGCTGTTTTCCATCCTATTTGTCCTTGTTTTTATTATTCTGTACTGTCTGCCAGATGGTAATAGTTCAAAAAAAGGCTTCCCAGGATAAGATGGATCTTTGAGAATGTTTTGAACTATTTTTAAGGCAGTGGGAGTTATAAAGCTCTTCCAAAGAGGGGAGAGGGCAACCAATGATCTTCTGGGCAATGATGTTAACCCTCTGGAGTGCTGTCCTATCTGCCACTGTGCAATTGGCAGATCATACTGTGCTGTCCAGACAGTATATAGGTAATTGAGAATTGAGATAGTTAAGCTAGAATTGGGAGCTGTCCCTTAAGGGAATGCCTCATGGTAAATGTAGTTAATGCATCATGGGAAATGTAGTTCATGTTGTGGTCACATCTGTAATCCTGATTGGTCACTGAATTGACCCTTGGTTGGGCTGGGGGTGTTTCCTTTACTCTTGCTTGGACTCCAGCACCCGTCCTGGTGTCTCACCCTTTGTTCCAATGTTATGGGATGAAAGGTCACTATAATATTACATTATGAAGTCAGCTGTGCAAAGAGTTGGACATTAGATGAATGTCGACGTAACTGAGTTATATTTGAGGATGTCTTGTGATCCAATAAATAAACTTTGTATGGAAACCTTTAATCAAGAGTATAATCTGACTGTCTTTGTATTCAGCCAGCAATTAAAAGACAGAACAATCTCTGCTGGACCCTTTTGACCAGTGCTGCAATGTGAACTATCAAGTATCTTATGACTGGGACAACATATGCATCTTTTTAAAAAGCCATGTAAAAGAAATACAGGATGAAATTCGTTGGCAGGAGTTGTGTGAGAATGGGAGCTCACCCCATTACATGGCACTCAGGTCTCAAACCTGGGTTGTCAACTCAGCTGACAAACCCAGCATCTCATCCATTGAGCCACTGTGCCACCTTCTGGCATATGTAGACTTGCTCAAATGTATTAGTTTATCAGACACTAAGAACACTGTTTCTCAACCTTGTCAATTTAAGCTGTGTGCACTTCAACTCCCAGCATGGTGACTAAGGAATTCTAGAAATCGAAATCCACATAATGGAAAGTTGCTAAGATTGCAAAATATTGCATTAGAGCAGTGGGGACTTGGTTATTTTCATTGTGGCTATAAGCCAAGATCATGCTTCCTAAATAACTATATCAGACATAAAAGCAATTCTTTTATATTAAGAATAGTTGTAATTCTATCATTATTCTGTACCTATTATTCTTAGCAGCAATGTTCTACTGAACTCAGAAATTGTTTTAGCTCCCAAGCACACTTACCGTATCAACCATACTTCATTTTTTCCCATTTTTTTCTGGTTTTTATCATATTTGTTACAGATTTATTTTGTTGTTATTGTGTATCTTGGTACTTACATTTTGTACTCTTTCTAAAACGATGGATAAATGAAACAAACTTCTGAGCAGACTCAGCATATGAACTGAGCCAGTAGTCGAGCTGCTTAGGGCAGATACATAAAACCATATATAAAGCTGGCCTTTGAGAAATAATTCACCTCTGAAAATAATGTCTTTATCCTGTGTGAGCAACTGCAAAACCAATTGTCTTCTTTCCTGGGCCTGACTACTCCTCTAGATTAAGATCTGGTAAGTATTTAACTTGGCTTTTTTCATTAATCTTTTTATGCAGAGAACTGACTTACGGATTATCAGACCTTGTCTTTGCTTCAGCGTTCTGGTATTTGCCAAGCACAGAATCTCCTCTGGTTGATCAGGTCACTTTCTATAGTAGTGATAAGCACAGTTTAGTTTATGGTTTTCAACATGTAGCTATACTGCAAGTGTCCCTTGTCATTTATAATAATTTGTAGGGAATTCAGTATCTAGGAGGCTACAAACTTTTTTTTTACACAGGTCTAAAAAAATTAGGAAGCTTCAAAATTAGGGGAGAGATCATTTCAAAAATTCTGTTTAGGTAACCTAAATTGGAAATAAACACTACCACTCATTTGAGGATCTTTATGCAAAATAAAACTTCCACACACAAAAAATTGGTGCATATTAGCTGAAATGAAGATACTCCAATGTTGTTTGTTTTATTGTATTAAATATTAGTACATTGAAATCTACAAATTATAAATCCCCATAATTTTTCCCATGCATTGTCCAACAGGATTATAAGCATACAACTGAGTAGAATTTTACATGTTCAATTTTCCCTTTATCTTTATAAGAGAAATGACTTAGCTGTTGGTTTAAAAAAAAAAGCTAATCAAAGAGAGGCATTTATTTATGAGGTCATATTCGGAAACATCTCCTATATGTTTGACAGAATATTTGATGGCTTTCTTGAGACAGCAGAACCTTGCCTGATCTGAGTACAGGTAGTCCTTGACTTACAACATTTGGTGACTTTTCAAAGTTAAGCGGCACTTTAAAAAGTCATCTATGACTGTTTTTCATACTTACAACTGCTGCAGCATCCCTTGGTCACATGCCCAAAATTCCAATGGTTGGCAACTGTTTCATATTTATGTTTGCTATGCCCTAAGGTCATGTGATCTCTTCTGACAAGCAAAGTCAATGGGTAATCCAGATTCACTTACCAACCATGTTACTAATTTAACAAATGCAATGATTCACTTAACTGCGGCAAGAAAAAATGTAAAATGGGACAAACTCATTTAACAAATGTTTCCCTTAGCAAGTCAATTGTGGTTGTAACTTGAGGACTACCTGTATGTGAAGCCACAGAAATGATTTTATTTATTACTACTGTAATCAAATTTCTGAATAAAATTATATTAAAAATGATTTTACTTAGGGCT